GAATATACATATCTGTATATATATATATATATATATATATATATATATATATATATACACACAGTTTCCTCTGAGCCCAGCCTCAGAGGTGGAACAGTGGGCGGGGCTTTCCTCCACACCATCGATCTCCACTTTATCATCCACAGTCACGTGCATTGTTGCCACCTCTCGCACCTGGTCAGATGATCGATGAGGCTCTGGCTCCAGGACAATTCTCAGCTCTGTTGCTCTTTATGGCGATGGCTCTCCGCCTGCAGTGGACTCTGGCTGATGCTTCACGCAGCGGGGTGTTCGTTGGCTGGACTCTGGGTCCGAAGTGGGGCTGGTGAGATCCTTGTCAGCGGGCCTATGGTGAACGCTGAATTGCAGCTTACCAGCACCCACTCCACAAAGTCGGCGAAATTCCCCCAAGGGTATATATATAATAGGTTATATATGTGTGATAGAGTAAATAGCACATGCAGTGGCAGCAGCAGCAGCAGTAACAGCCTCCCCCAGGTCCTAATGCCCATTTGGTAAGGAGTTTTAATCTGTAGGGGGCGTTGTTGGCCTACTTCTAATTAAATTAAAAGGAAAATAGCCTACACAAATAACATTTAGACTGTGTTTCTGATTAAATAAAGCAGTAATTGATGTCATAAAATAATGAGTATGTTTTGATTTAAAGGTCAGAAGCTATAGCTTACATGAAAAAAATCACAAACATGACACTTGTAAATTAAATAATTTGATATATACTGATTTATTCATTAATGTGTAATATGTTTTATTTTTTTAAACAAATCATAAGCTCTAAAAGATTTTCAGAATTTTTAAAACTCTTTTGCTTTAGACCATCTACAAATGTTAAATCTTAAAATAAAGTGTTAGGGTTAACACTGCATCTTTCTGGGGGGGAAAATGCAGCGATTGATATGTAGTTTATTTATAGTTATTTTCAAAGCTTCAATGTACTGTCAAAAAATCTTCATTATTGTTTATTTAATTTAACAAATATGTTCTTGTTAAAAACGAAGCAAAATTAAAGGGGTCATATGATGCAATTTAAATTTTTTCTTTCTCTTTGGAGTCTTACAAGCTCTTGGTGCATAAATAAGATCTGTAAAGTTGCAAAGACTAAAGTCTCAAATCCAAAGAGATATTCTTTA